TATAACTCAGTATCTCCGAGAATTGAACTTTTTGTGTGAGAATTGTGCCTTTAAAAGCGTAACCGCTAACGTATACCGAGATAAATTCATTAGAAAACCACACCTTGACACTTAAAGAATCTATTGATCAAGCAAAATCTATGGAAGCTGCTCACTTGCATGCATGCATCTTCTTATGATATGAATTCTCAAATATTTTGGTCGATCGGCAATTATTTTTAAAATTTTAAATAGAGATAATGCGCTAGTTCAGTGTGATGTCATTTTGGTTCCACTGATATTTAATTCTAACCAAATTTTTAACAAAAACATCAATAAATTTGACATATACGTTTTTACTGTTTTTATTTTATTTCAAAATATTGTTTACATATCATAAAAAATAGTTTAAAAGTATGTAATTGGTAACTAAACGATTGTATATTTGATACATGTATCTACTTACTTTAGGAATATATTTATAAAAGTCAAAAAAACGATATAATTTAGGTAAACAAAACGCACTTAAAAAATGTACTGTCACTTTAATTGTCAGTGGAACCATAATTACATCATCACTGAACTAGCGCATTCTGTGAAACTAATTATTGTCAATGTGATTGTCAATATATTTTTTAGTTTTCAGGGGCGGCTACACTTTAAGGCCGCATGGACGCGCGCCCCTCCTCAAAAATATCAGAGATACTATTGAATAAAATACTAATTAAAAATATTATTTATTTTATAATTTTTCCTATCGTCTCGACACATGCTATGAGCACAGGCCTGTCACTCCCTATAATTCCCATGTTAAATTCTGGCTCAAATCTCAATGATATCTAAAAGTAAAAATTACTCAGGTTTTAAGCCACTTGAAGACAAAATTAGTGTGGTTATTACAAAATTTGTTTTTTTTTAATTTTTTTAATAATGTTGACCTCGATGCCTCCTCCCTATTGGTCTGGAGTATTTTTGACAAGTCTGGCGTCACCACTCAGAACGTTGGTTGCTGTGACATAAGAAAAATGACATCCAGACAATTGATTAATATTTTTGCAAAAAATACAGATTTATAACAAAATTCGATTATCAATAAATGTTTGCATCAAAAAGCAAAATGATCAGAAAACTAGGTTTGATTAGATTAGATAACTTACCCGCTTAAAATATTTTAAATTTTCAAAGTCACAGACTTTCAAATAGACATTTGAGTGCGATCTCTTGTGTTAACTATACTCTTTGCTTCCTAAAATAACAATTTATTGAATTTATGAACTCTGACTGGACTATAGACGGCCGCTGTAAGATTGAGGCCCCCGTCTCCACGACAACGTAGTGGGACACGCGTTATCGAGTACGTCTTGGTCCTAGTACAGATTAGAGCGCAATTTTTTCGCAGCGGCCCATCATTTAGATTATGAGGCGTCAGGCGATTGTTTTATAATTTTCACGAAATTTTTAGAAAGAACCATTTTAAATAATTGAATAAACCCCTTAACTATGATATCAATACATAGAAATTTCGACTAAAAAGCCATGGAAAATTTTACTTCAATGAGGGATTGTACAGCAAATTTCAATTTCAGTATGTGATATAGCAGGGGCAGAAGTTGGAAAGGCTTTTGTCAGTTCTCCCACTTTATACACATAAATTGACAGGTTTGCGGCGGATCTAACCGAAGTGGACGCGATACATTGGCGTACAAAATTATTTTATAGATATTAATAACAATTTAGAGTAAATAGTTTAATAAATTGTAAATAACTGTTGAAATGTTGTAGAATTATGATTTGGATATTATAAAAGATGTTTTATTTATAGTCTATAAATATATGCGATTGTCTGGTTCTGCCGGTAACAATCTAAAATTACTTATTCTATGAAACAACACTGCGAAATTCTCGAAGCCGTCTGATGTGGTTTGACGTTTACTCCTTCTCTACCTACCAAAAGCCTTTCCAACTTCTGCTCCTGCTATACATGCAATGAACTTTCGTAAAAACAAAAATTAAAAAATACAAATATGTCGATTTTCATGTTTTTTTTTAGAGTAATTATTTTTGCAAGATGTTTTACTAAAAGAAATATATTTCATTTTGTTTATTGACAAGGCGCAGTGAGTAGTGTGGTATTTTTTCTATGTTAAAGAAAAAGTGCGAAATAAATAACAAATTTTCCATAATTCGCACTTTTAAACCAATTGGCGCCCCCCCACCTTCGCAGTTCACAAGCCGCCACTGTTAGTTATTGAGATTAAATATACATTACATGAGTTATTCTTGTGTAGAATCGATAAATTATAGCATTTCTACTCTAATTTCGTCCATAATTATAAATAATTTGTTAATTTAAATAAAACTATATGAAGTCTATTTAATTACAAGTATTAAAGCAAAAACGTTGACCGCATAGATGGGGGTGTTGTCAGCGATTGCCTTCCATGCGTAAGCCCCGAGTTTAAATCTCGGAGGGGAAAATTTAATTTAAATCTTTTTTTTCTTGTTTGTTTTATTTTATAAATAAGTAAAAGTCATAAATTGGAGGTGGGGTAAGGATCGAAAGTGAAGTAAAGTGTGGTAGATTTAATTAGAGTTTGATACAGTGAAGAAGAGTGGGTTGAAATAAGGTAGAGTAGGGTGGAGTAAAGGTATAGTTGGGTAAAGTGCAGTAAAGTGAATATAGACTGGGGGAGAGTGAGGTGAGTATGGCGAAGTGGGTTAGAGTGAAGGGGCAAAATGGCTGCGTACAATAACCTCTTCAAGCAATTCATATAACTATTATAGATCATTGTCAATTACATCGCTGAGTATCAACTGTTGTTAGAATTAGGCATTACAACGACAGTTGACACTTTGCGATGTAATTGACAGGATCAATGGTATAAATATTATATAGATTGCTCAAATCGGGTAGCATTGGGCGCTGATCATGGAGTCATAAGATAGGGAGGCGCTATAAGTATCTTTTTCAAACATTCCAATCTATGTCATTTAAAAAGGTTTCTATACCTTCATAATTTTTTTAAAGACAAATGCATTTTAAAATGAAACTGAAGTAAATTTCTAGAATTTAAAATAACAAAAATAATATTTGATTATTTTAAATCTAATTTTTGCACTAACTGCAACAAATTCTCTCATTTTTAATTCATCTTTACAAAACCCTAATATGGTTACAACACTCTCACTCAAAGCACAACTAATATCTCAAATACGGCCCTGCACATTGTTTACTATGTTGTATATTTAGTTGTAGAATGTTATTTTAGATAATTTCTTCATATAAATTAGGTTCCTAAAAATACGTTGAGCAAAACAACCAATGTTTAACTTTTTATATGTACAATATATTTAGTTTGTAAAAGACATAAAAATAGAAAAACGTTGATTGAAACCACGATTAGCTGATTGAAAGATGTGTGAACGCAATATGGCGGAAGTGAACCCGTCTTGGACCACGTGACAGCGTCTCCCTACCTTCTACCTCCATGGCGCTGATATTACTGGTAGGCATCACAGTAGACATCCCTAACTTGCCAAGTTTTTATTTTTTACGATGTGCTAAAATGATTTTCAATGAGCACCACAAAACAATCACGTTATAGTGCTTGCGAGGCAAAATGGCCGCGTGCAATACCGCTTTGAGAAATTTATGTAAGTATTTATATCATTGTCAATTACATCGCCGAGTCTCAACTCTCATTGGAATACCTAATCAATTATTATCTCTCTCTCTCTCTCTCTCTCTCTCACACACACCTGTAATATCTCCTATTCCTTAGTTTTTAGGAAGTTTTGCTTATTATTTCTAGTACTATATATCCAATGTCCTCAATTACGAGCAACTGTAGTTAACACAAAACGAAGGATAAAACTAACTAAAGAATGTTTGTGGTAATTTTGATCTAAATCCACTCTCAAAATCACAAATTTTCTGTTTACAAGCTATCAATGTAAATGTACTACAAAAATGAATTTGATAAAAAATGTAAAAACAGATTTGTGTACGAATTATGTGTGGTTGCTTGCACGTGATAGGGAGTTTTAAGTGGATTTATGACAATTGATAGTTTATAACCATGAAATGTCAGTGCAGTAGAGATGCGCGTCTTGTTCCTGCCCAGAGAGAGTAATTTTATGGATAATTCAACAATACGACTATTCATGCCTTTGATTTTAGCAGGATAAAAAACTGTTACTTATTGTAAAGTATGACACTTCATTTAAGAGCCAATTTTATTAATAATTTATTGTACAATATAACAAAACATAATTTAATAAAACATTAACTTAAACAACTACAAAATCGGGCAAATAAACATCTATCGTTGAGAAATACAAACTTCAATCACAATTAAGTATAATACCAAATTAAATTAGCTTTCAATACTATATATTAAATAAAATTAGTCATCAAATGAAGTGATACACTTTGCAATACGTAACAGTATTTTATACCGTTGGAGGGAGCTAAAAGTAACACAATTAATAGCCATATTGTTGAATTCTCCATATAATTACATTTCAAATTATGCGTCACTCGACCATACTTGTCATTTGCCGAATTTCGGGCAGTTGGATTTCTGGGTGTGAATTTTATTTGAAAGTTGACAAGGTTTTTTTACATTTTGAAAAAACTTCTTTGCTTTAGAGTTTCTATCAGGTAAGTTATTGTTGATACACCTGCATATATATTTTCAATAACCAACAAAATACTACCTTTATTTTTGTGGATTGCATCAGGCGAAGAGGTGGCAACCAACTTAGTTCATGTTATTTAAGAAATCTGTTTTTTAAACGAATTTTGAATTTTAGTTCACAAATAAATAAGAGGAATAATTGTTAAAAAAATAATAATAATTAAAACTGCGGTGCGGCAGGATTTTGCTAAATATATGAAGGTAAAAATCACGCAGTGTGATCTCGAACTAAAAGATAGATGGATGGAATCTTTAAAGCAAAAACCCTTTACATTTATAAGCAAATATAATTATAAATATCTTACAATAATTACATACGTTCTAGTTCTATGTCATCGAATTTTTTTTTGCAAAGAACTAGCCTACCAAAACACATAAATTATACAGCGTCTCTCGAACTTTGTTCAGCTTATAAAACAGTAGTTGAGCGATAAAAATATCATATTTACAATTTATACAACTGTTTCTTTAGTATTACAACTAAGTTAATTGAGATTTTCAAGCAATTCATTCGTTTCAGCTTAAATAAATTAAGTATTAATGAAACACAAACAGTAAATTTAACTTAAATAAGTACACGTAAAAAATCGTAAAACAAAATACAATTATCAAAAATACAAAATTTAATACATCTTAAGTGCTCTAAAGAAAAATAAGTTACGTTTTTATATTTGCTAAATGATACAGAGCAGCGAAAATTAATAGACAGTCACACATTAATTAGTAAATCGTCAAAATAAAAGTTTTATTGTAAAAATAAGTAGAATTTTTATACTTAAATAAAGCTATATTAACTCATTTCATTTACTCACTTATTTTCTAAAAGATTAACGAAATCACAGTAGGACGAAATTAAATTTCACTACCCTGTATCTAAACAATCAGAATAACTTCTAGTGTAACTATCTTATTATCAGTTGCATATCACACCCAGAAACTACCTGTATCGTTTATTTTTTTTTTAATTATCAAAAATATTAAAATTCATTTGTAACGATTAGAAACCCTTAGCTACTGTCTTACAGTAAAAGTGCCTTCTGGCGTACAGCAATCCTCAACTGTGTGAGAGACAAAGTTCGTTCCACCTAGCTTCGAAGAACTGTCTCATACAGTGTCCCGCTTTGCCGACCGGACTGTCGTCTTCGTTGAAAATTTCACAATTGTTGAAAATTTGCCTCACGTCTTCGCAAAATTCCTCCTTAGACTTGTAACTGTAAGAAAATAAAGTGAAATTTTAGTTATAAATGTTCCAAACTACTTGGTTTACAAAAAACTAAACTATTTTTTTTTTGGTACATTATATGCCTTAAGCCCGAAAGTTTGTAATTATGTCATCTGTCGATGAATATATGGATCTTCCTAGTGGAACAACAAAATGAGTACAATGTGCTAACACGACTGGGAGAGAATCCTAAAAAAAATTAATTGCATTTGTTTTTATTTCCTATTTGTAAGGGGAAGAGGGTGAACAACATGTACTATGTTCTAGTGGTGGGAGCTGTCGTGCGACCTGTCAAATTCAAAATAAAGTTGCTTACTGATGGATTTCTCTTGTTGGTAATAAAATATATGCTTTCAGACGTCAACAACAATAAAAAAATCGTTTGCAAGCGTTTTGCTACTTTCGGTGTAGGGATTTTGATCACGTGAATAGATATTTTTCGGTATATGCCTTAAACGCGGTTTTTCTGAACTCAAGGTGACATTGCAAGTATTCTTTTGTGTCAGCGAAAAGGTTGATATAAAAAAATATAATATAACTTTGAAATAGGTTTAAAAAGTTGAAAAGTGGTTTAATTACTCTTAAAATCTTTGTATGACTTTTAATTATGTGTATTGCCATTGCATGCATTTTTTATTCAGTAGTTTTACCCCACTTGCCAAAAATTAGACTATTTTGATATTTTTTTCTAGAAAACCTGGGGCGAACAGATTTGAATGGTTGAAATATTATGTAAAAGAGTTTTGGGTGTTCCCAAAAGGTTTGTAAGATTCTCAAATAAGAATATTGCATTTTTTATTTCATTTCGCCTCTTTTTCACCATTGGTTCTTTTTATACCTAATTTTCATTAGAATCATTCAAGAACAATTCTTCAACCACAAAAAAAGGAAAGCTTACCTCAAATCCTGTAACTTTTTCTTGATAGTCGAGAGATCCATGGGTATCTTTATAATTTTCTTGTAGGTTGGAAACTGCTTGGTATTGACGGGCAAGAGAAACGGCCAAGCGTCATCGTGACATTCAAGATCTTCTAATATAGCCTTGCAAGGTGCTAGATCCTTTACGAGTTTTTTATTGAGTCGCTCTTTTTTGTTGGAATTTGGAGTGGACGGAGAGCCAATGTTGGGTATAGTAGAATTGGGCGTTTCAGATTGGCTATTGTTCAATATTGGTACGTCTTCGTTAGTAGTTACTGAACTGTGTGAAGGAGTGGGGCTGAAAAATATGTTTTTAATAAACTGGTATTATAAAATAGCTTTAATGGTATTGTGATTTTTTTTTTCATTTTTCTTAACTAATTTAGATAGTTCAAAATAATCATTATTATTATATTTTCTGTTTTTTTTTCTCTATGTAAACTATTTAAAAGTACTAGGTAAATTGTTGACTTTGTAAGAAATTAATTTTCGTTAGAATAGTATTTTTTCCTTAACTCATAAAATTAAAATTACTGAAAACATTTGTGAACATACCTAGTTGGTGGTGGTGGCGGCTGTTCCATTGACTCCGACATTTCTTTAGGTATTTTGTGATTTTTCTTGACCGGTTTCTTAATAGGTTTTTTTGTAATACAGTTTGCACAATACCACTTCCCTCGAGGAACTTTAGGCATATTGGGTTGAATACAATCTGTATGATAGGACCGAGGACACAGATCGCATAATATCAGCTTGGTACCCGTCATGGATATTTTCTTTCCGCAAACAATACAGTTACGTTCACTTGTTGCTTTGTTCATGCATTCGTGACAATACCTAAATTAAAAAAAGGGTAATATACAGCAAAAAAAACTATTAATACGAAAATAATTAAATAAAATTCATCTATACATTGGTTTTTAAAATTACAACTTACCAATCTCCATCGGGAATGTTATCCATCTTAGGTTTGAAACAATATGTGTGATATCCTTTATCACACCCATCGCAGAGTAATAATTTATCTTCATTATCTCCACTATGGCAAAATTGGCAATTCTGTAACAAAAGCACATGTTTAACAGTTTTACTATTTTGATTGTAAGTACCAACAATCTCTTCGTTGAAGATATTGTTAAACTCAAAAAGTACTGAGTATTTTCCAAGTTGAATTATCTTGTTTAAAAGCATATAAAAATTCAAACGTTCAATTTATATTTTAACTAACGTTTTATTAAATTTTTACTATTTGAATTTAGTAAAAAGAAAAAGTTAATAAAAATATAGTTCACTGAAACAAAACAAAAAGTGTACAAGTTTAAGACGAATAGAGGTTGGATTTTAATAAAATTGAACTTATCTCGAAAATATTAATACCACAGAAACAGTTTCAAACAATATTAAAAGTCGGAAAATAAATCATATCTTAAAAAAAGTATTTCTTACCGCTTTCATAATGCTTTTATCCCAGGCTATAGAAGATTCTAACGAATAGAGGCACATTGCTAATTGGGCAGAAGTTAAACATCGGTTCACTGCATCTCTCCACACCATTAACCCTTTGGGAAGGTCGTCAGAGTTAGTTTGAGTATTTTGAGTACCGGTTTCTTGTGATAAAGCTGCAAGATGAGGATCCCCAGTACTGAAAATAAACAAAATTAAAACCTATGTCTACGATTTATAAAAAATAGTGCTTTATTATATTCTTCATATCCAGTATCTTTTTTTTTTAACGAAAATTATGAAGTTATCAACTTTTATCTATATAAAGTATATATCAAGTGACACCTTGTATCTACATAAAAATTATTTAGCACATACACTAAACAGTAAGTTTTGATGTATGGTGTCATTTTATAAATATTTCAGTGGACTAAAAATAAGTATTATAACACCTATACTGAACAGGTATCAAGCACAAATAAATGTAATGAATTTTGGCCAATCAATACCTTATCTTGTGCAGAGAACTTGGTAGTTTACAATTGCATAAAAATCTTTCCAAGAAAAAAATTCTTTTCAGACCTCAACATTCGTGCAATCAACCATTTAGCTGTCACTGAATTAAAACACGGTTCGTAGACATTACAGTGTCTTCATCCCCGTTGCTGAGAACAGAGTGATGTCACCGAATGAACATTTAAATCAAATTTGCATTTTATAAACACCCGAGAAGACATTAAATACAGTGATATATTAAAAAAAAGAATGTAACTCACCTAACTCCTAAGGGTGGCTTTAGATATCTCCTTTCAATATTCATTTCGAGAGATGCCAGTCTATCCCGAACAGTGTGAACAGTACGTTTGTGTACGACTTCTCCCAAGTCTCTATTTGGAATTTTCCATCCCTTCACTTGCATACTAGCACTGGCAACCTTATCTTCCAAAGCCTCCACCTAAAATTATTAATAATAAAGAACATTTTATAATTATAACAATTAAAAACAATGTTTGTTAAATATAAGTATTATAGGTGTATTTGTATTTTGCGCCATATTAACATTGGTAACCATGTTGGTATTACTTGACAGTTGGCAGTCTATCCAGTATTTCCATTTCTTTGATTGATTCTGACTTAAGATCTCATAAAACGAGGTACTTTAAGGGTATATTATGTTATATGTTTGGTTATGATGTAAAATGTCGTTATGTTGATATCAGTAAATTTTGTGTTTAGTTTTATGATCCCCAAAATATATTTAAATTTAGAAATATTTACCTGTTCAAGTAAAAACATGTCCACCCTATTTTCAAGCGCAACGTTCCAAGTTCCAGGTCCGTCAGGCACAGGTGCTCCTTTCTCCACAAACAGAACGCCATCCATTTGGCTTTCGCTCAAAGTACTAAGTTCCTTACAGCCTTCTTCGATAACAAGTCTGCCTTTTTTCTCATACATGACTTGCATGACGTTTATAAAGTTTCTTTTTAATTCCCTTTCACGTATTCCTCTTATTTGAAGACTATCTAAAATATCTCTGAGTTGACCAGTATCCGTTATTCTCCACCATCCATATCTACAAAAATATAATATGAAAGAAAGTGAGAAATAAATCGGTTGAGATCTGAAAAACTGAAATGCAAATGTGGAAATATGAAAATGAATAATCTTCAATTCTCCTTACAAAATTATGAAAAAATACAGCTTCATATCAACAAAGTGAAAACAAACTAAAGGAAAATTGTGTCAAAAGGGTGGCTTTAAGCTGGGATGAATTTATAACACAAGCCAACAGATTTCGTGTATCAGATCTAGTTTTTAAGATAGGCAATATTTACTATTTTTTAATTTGTATATATTTTATAACACTACTATTGCATTAATTTCCATATCCATTCCATGTTATTCTTATTAAAAAACCTTGATAAAATAAAACTAATGTATTTTATTGATTAGTTATAATTTAAACAATTTTGTATCTACCTTTTGAATAACCCTGTGTTTATACAATATTACAATATTTAAGATTGCAATCCTTAAATGAAACAGAAAATTTTATATGTCGCGAAAACAATTCTTTTATTATTAACTTAACGTCTTAGTATTTTTATGCATTTTCTTAACAAAAACATTGCTGTAAACTACAGTGACAAGGACGAAATTAATGAGTCACCCAGTATTCAGCATAAAAGGCTCACCCCGGCAAGTTATTACATGAAAAAGCCAATCTATTTCTAGAACTCTAGTTTGCTTGAGTTAGTTAAGTAAATATACTTTTTTAAAGGATGTGAAAAATGGAACTTGAATACATTTTTAGATGAAAGCATCCATACTTTTTTTACAAGTATCTATTTCGATCTGGTACTCAGATACTTTTTCCTGTATCTGGCTCAACGCTATCACAAGATATACAATTTTTATTATAAATTTAAAATGAAAATAGACTTAGTAATGTTGAGAAATTCAAAATTCTTGTGCCGAGCATATGGCTCAATTCATTATTTATAAAAATTAACCTGCCTCATGCAAGACGGAACGCTTTTCTTTTCATTGGTTTTAGGTATTCCATGTTCTTTAATGTACTCCAATTGGGCACTTTCCTCTGGAGTTAGTTGTAAAGGCGCGGGACTGTCGCAATTACTGTACCCTATAGAAGAATTCATATCCAGTGGGGGAAATACAGGTATTTTAAGTTCCATTATATCCCTAGTACAAGCACCGACGCCATTTTCCCATTTATTACCCGAATTAAGTTGGATGCCTTCGCACGTACTCCAATCCGGACTTAAAATACTGAACCATTTGGGTTCCAGCTCGTCTTCGCCCTCCTGTTTGCACTCAAGTTTTATATCATTTTTCATATCCGATTTGAGCTCGTTGAGGATTTCATTTTTTAATTCTTCCTAAAAATTAATTAAAAAAAAAAATGTTAAAAATAGCAGTTATGCAGAGTTGTTCTTTAGTTCGTAAGAAAGAAATTTACAATCCTATATCTCAGTTATGATGCGTGTAAAACTCATTAGATACGTATCGTTACATTTATTTATTTTCAAAATATATCTGAGACTGTTTACAAATAGCACAAGTTTTAATTTGAATCTACACTTTTTAAGTATCTAAAATATACCCTTGTAGCAAGAACTTTTTTTAGAATAATACCTAGAAAATGCAAAGTACAGAACAGTAAATTACTTACCTTAACTTCCGCTTTAACTTCTGCTTTTAAGTCCTCTTCAGTCTTGTTTTCGCGTTCCATGCACTGGCCTAATCTCTCAAATAAACTGAATTTCTTATTACTAAAAGATTCGAATTCACTGGTATTATTTGTATCTTCGTGGTTTTCTTCTGGCGACTCAGACTTTTCTTTCTTCAATTCCAGATTTTCCACGATATCGTCGACGCTCTTTTTAAGCGCGCTAAGACTCTGGTCACTTATATCCGGAACTTCCCCATTTTCTAATAGATGTATTCGGTTTGGTGTTTTTCTATGTTCGTTTTCGTCATATTTTAATCTAGAATCTGTATCTTCTACCTCATTTCTATCTATTATACTACTAACTTCTTCATCTATATCAGCGTCGTCTAATTCTTCATCTCTTTGACTAAAACTATCAAGTTCGTTTAGTGTTTGGATACCATTGTTACTTTGTTCTAAATTATCTCTATTAATTTGTTCATCTGCTTGATCTGGATCTGCACTTTCCATGGATTCCACATATATTCCTCCTACTTTCGGAAGGGACCAATAGCGTCGATAGTAGCGATCTTGACCAAAACAAATCGCTCGCAATTGAAGACTAGCAGTTTGCAACGTTTTGAAATGTGTTTCTGAGGTTTTTACAAACTTTTCCAGTTTCTTTCCCAATTCTTCGCCAGACAATTTATTATCTTCTTCCTATTAAAAGGATTGAACAAAAAATGTACATTAATAGGAATTAAGAAACAACATTCATAACTATTTTCTTTTAAACATACCTCATCCGGTTGCGTTCCTACACTTTCGTTTTCACTCAATTCATTATCTTCTTCATCCAATAAATCATCTTTGTTTAATGAAGGAGAATCTGCCATCTGGTCATCTTCTAACTTTATAGATTTTTCTATTGTTTCTGTTCTTACTTTTTTATTGTGTAACATTCTTAGTCTGAAACAAGAATAAACGCAAATGATGAATTTTATATTATGTATCCGTGTCTAACAATTTAATTTATCATAAAGTGCCCCAATATTTCTGTACATTTTACAACAGCATAATATAAAAAAAAGGTTTACAAAAACAATAATTATTGGTAAGGTCACAAAGCCAATTTAATATAAAACAAGGGGAGTTAAACAAATATGCTGCCTGACACATTTGTTCTTTGAACTATACAGTAGTTACTGTCTTTAACCATCTCACGTCCAAATATAATTAAGCGCCTCAACTTTATTTTGCTTGAGGCAATGATTAACTTACTGTATACGAACGACCTTATAAACTTATCGAAAAAGACAATTATATCAATTGATTTGGAAATGGCGAAGAACTAAAGGCAACAATATCAAATTGTTATAAAATCTAAGTTCAGCTTTGATACCTAGTAACTTCAATACTCGTTTAAATTTCAAAATGTGGTTTTCAAAATTAGATTTTTACACTTTTTGTAAATAATTTATGAAATTTTAAAATGTATAGATCAATTGGTTCGAAAATGGCGATAAAATAAAGGCACCAATATTAAATTGTTAAAAAATCCAAGTTCAACTTTGATACCTTGTAACTTGAAAATATGTTAAAATTTCAAAATGTGGTTTTCAAAATTAGATTTCTACACTTTTTTTAAATGATTTATCAAATTTTGAAGTTTATATATCAATTGGTTTAAAAATGGCGATGAAATAAAGGCACCAATATCGTTAAAAAATCTAACGAGGAAATAAAGGCACCAATATCGTTAAAAAATTTAAATTCAACTTTGATACCTTGTAATTTGAAAATTTGTTGAAATTTCTAAATGCGGTTTTCAAAATTAGATTTCTACACTTTTTGTAAATAATTTATCAAATTTTAAAGTCTATATATCAATTGATTTAAAAGTGGCGATGAAATAAAGGCACCAATATAGTTAAAAAATCTAATTTCAACTTTGATACCTTGTTACTTGAAAATTTGTTGAAATTTCAAAATGTGGCTCTCAAAATTAGATTTCTACACATTTTGTAAATAATTTATCAAATTCTGAAGTCTATATATCAATTGGTTTGAGAATGGTGATGAAATAAAGACAACAATATCAAATTGTAACTTGAAAACTTGTTCTGTAGAATCTATCTAATCTATATAGATGATCAAATTCCACATACTAACAGTCTGGATATCATTAAAAGATTTAACTCAATTTTTAAGCAAATTAAAGACATGCGACAGGCAGCAAATACTGCCGTGTTAAAAGTGCTGTCGCCTGTTTTGTATCAGTCGCGCTGTCCCGAATGCTTTTCATTTAATTACATGTGTTCAAACGTGAAGAGACCGTTCGCTGATGCTTAACGCCTGTCGTCAGACGCGATCTCACGTTCCCAAATGGTACTTTTATAAAATTTAAGTTCAGAAATAATTAAAATATACTCACTTTCTAATTTTCATGTCCAATAACCATTTCTCTTTCTTTTGTTGTGTCACAGTTTCCAATGAATTTTCAATTTGTCTAATAACGGCTTTGTTTTGAAGCAGTTCATTACAAATATACGCCAGAATTTCAGCCTTATTCGTTGGATTCAGCGACATAAAAGGTTTAGATCTCAACAAAAGGGAAAGTTTGTAAGTGGGATTACCGTGTAGCAATTCATAATAATTAGCGTTTTTCCCAGTTTGTGTTACGACCATTTCCTCATCATTCTGATGGTGATCTGCCACCCTCTTTTCTCGTTCCCTTTCAAAGTGAATGCCGGTAAGAGCCTTTATTTCTCCCGTGGCATTAGCGTACAGGTATATTCGAAGAATTTCTGAAATATTGGAAGGAGTTATATCGGCTTGTCTCAAATTTTGACCGAGAATCGTTGTATATCGAGCAGGATTAGGAATTCCTGGATCTTCAATGGCACAAACAAGTAAATGAGTCATCACTGAAAACAGTTCATCTTCAGCATCAACAGAGTTTTCGTTAGGCAATAAGGATTGTTGTAGAGCATCTAATGTCGGCAACGATTCCATATCAAAGCCTAAAGTTTCTCCAAAGTTATGTAAAAATTCGAAAACCATAAGAATATCGCCGAAAGGTTTGCCTGGTAGTTTTAAACCAGGTATTCTTTCATAATCCGGCAAGGTATTTTGATCCAGTTCCAAATCCTCACAGGGTTTTCTGATTTCGGCAAGAATTTCTAAGTCTATCTTTCTTTGCTCAAGTTTCTTCTCTTTATTTGCTTGCTTTTCAGCGAGTAATTGTTGTTTTTTTCTTTCGCGTTCTTCAAGTTTACGTCTATTCTCCAAGGTTTTTATTAGAGACATATGTTGACGTCTTCTCTCTCTTTCCTATTAAGAAAATCAAATAGTAATATGAAATAATGAGTAATTAGGATATTAGTAAAAAATTACCTGTTCCTTGAGAAGAATAGCTTGTTGTCTTTTTAATTCTCTCTCCTAAAAAAAAACAATGTATAATAACTAAATTAAGGTAAGTAATTCAAAAACATCCAAGTGGGTTCAATTCGCTGCCATTTTTGAGCTCCAAATCGGGCGATAGAGGTCGTGAAATGTTCCTTAAATGCCAAATCAAAGGGTTTGTTGTACCAATAAAGTCGGTTGCCTAATACGTTTTATAACACTGTAATCCAAAGTCCTGTTGAGCACATAGCCCTGGGAGTAGTTGTTTGTTGTTATAAGGCGGTAGACAGTATCCCGAATAAAATTGCGACTCTATGTATGGCACTCGTCGCTTATTTTTGATCTATTTGCCTTCCATTTGAGAGCGAACTCGGTCGACCATTTTATTTTTTAGTTTTACTATTATATTTACAAGAAGTAAAAAAAAACGTGCCATAATGTGCCGTCGCTTCTTGTAATTGTTACAAAATAGTGTCTGTGTAGTTGTTGCTAAATAATTTTTTTATCGAGTAACTTGTTAGGTATCAGAATACTACTGGCATTACGTTAAAAATTGTGATGTTGCCACAATCTGAGTAAAGTTGAAAGTAATTACTTTATGATTAAACTATAGCGCTATTGTTTGTCAATCTGTCAAGTAATCCTACACGTAATTTTACTCAGAGGTGAAAAGATCTATGGATTTGAAAAAGGCGTATTTAAAAAATATTTTAGATCTACAGGATGTTACGCTTTTGCCTGGCAAATAAAAATGTATATTTTTTTAATTTTAAATTTCAGTTTTAGAAAGGTCTAGTAATGCTGTATTCAAAGCTAACATATTTTTGAAAACTATTTCAAACAGCCATCTTTAGGAGAATTAAAAGCATTAAGTAAACAACTAAATTTGTGTTAACCTATTTTTCAGAAATAATTAACAACACAAATAATATAAACCATTGGTGCAAAGAATGCCAAAAATAAATAAAATTAAAGAAATTAAATATTTAATGGTATTCCATTTAAAAAATTGAGTAAATTCAGAACCACGCATTTTGACAGACCTTATACCGTGTGTTCAAATTAAAGTGTTACAGTTAAATACCGCCGAAAATATGCATCTTAGAAAAAAAAGTTTCAGACAAAAGTTTTATAGTATTTTGGGGGAAACATTTTGGCTAAATTCATTTTTTTATAGTTGACCATAATATGATCATATCGAGGAGGACTTTGTATTTTTAAAAGGAAATCCCATTTTTTATTTACATATTCTTAAACTACATAAAAAAATAAGAAACTTTTGATAAAAATATTTTTTTTATTGGACTTTTACTTTTTGAGTAACAGCTACTTAAAAATTTTGTTAAGTGAAAACAAAATTGGCCATATTATGGTTAGCTATAAAAAACGATTTTAGCCAACAATTTTTCCCCACAAAAATAAAACTTTCGTCTGAAACGTTTTTTTTTATAAAAGGCGATATTTAGCTATAACACTTTAATTTGAACACCCGGTATACAACATAGCAAACGAATGAAGTCTATTAAAATTGTCTGACGATGTGAAAACAATAAAATATATTTAACTACCTACATGGTGTGGTGCTTTAAAAAAGTATGTTTGGTTAGCTCCTCGTTTATAGACCACCCTGTATATTTAAGAATAATTCTTAATTATGGTCATAAAACTTTTATATTAAAAATTTCTTCGTATTTCCAATAATAAAACAGTTATTGATCATATACGTACTGATGGGACACCCTGTATGTGTATAATTAGCTAACAAGTTGCTATGGTTGGGTAGGATTATGTATAAGGAATTTTATGCTAAAATAATATACAGGATGTTGCATTTGAAAAAATTTAGTTAATTGAACTTAAAGTTAGCTATATTTAAGACATGTTTCAAAACACTCTGTATAAAATGAACAAGTTCTGTCACTACTGTTAATTAGCTTGGTATCTTTTAAACAATTTTGAAATCATTGTTAACCTACCTAAATTATGATAATTTAATTTGTGGTTTACATAATTCTCTAATTTCACAAAAAAAAATTGCTTTGCAATATTGCAAATTTTTTTTTAAATTCTAGAATTAAATACAGTTTTACCAGAACTGAAATAAAATATACATTTTTATTTGCCAGGTAAAAACGTAACACTCTGTATATCCAAAAATATATAAAATGTCTTTTTCAAATCCATATAACCTTTATTTGAAATGTTTGCGTGTCTATGCCACGAATTGAAATATCAAGCAATTAAGCACAGATGGGTCACCCTGTATAGTGATACTGAAAATATTAGGCATCCAACAGTGTTGAGTTTGTTTTTTAAACAAATGAATTTATTTTTTTTTAAATCCCTGCTAGTCATATTAGGTCTTTTCCTTTGCATTGAAAGTGTAGCAATGAGCTACACCACTTCTGAAAAAATCGTTCCATCCATACAATTTGTATAAATGGAACGATATTTTCAGAAGTGGTGTAGATCAGTGCTACACTTTCGATGCAAAGGAAAAGACCTATTTTTGTGCACAAAAACTTTTCGATGTACGCATTTTGAAAATATTTAGATTCAAATGCTTGAGGCAATGTCAAGTTGTTGCATCGGTTCGCAAAAATCGGTAACGCTAGAAACAATTAAATTAAAAATGTAATAATAAAATAGCAAAAAATATAGCGGGCTTATGGCTATTCTATAGACGTAGAAAAAGGATAGGTGCAAGAACGGAGCCTTGAGGGAAACGTCAGTTAATGCTTATTTGCGATGAAATGAAAATATTAGTTTTACATTTTAACAATTCTGTCGTCTATTTATTAGATTTAATCACAATCATTTGTAAACATTATAATGCTGTAACAATTCTAGTAGGCATTCAAAATTTACTGGATCAAATGTTTTGCTCATAATAAAGTCCCACATTATTGACAAAGGGTATAACCTGTAGCTGATGTCCACCATAGATTTCCATGAAAAAGAATAGACACATCACCAAGATCGCCTGATTTGAAGTCCCAGGCAAGATTTATATAGAAGAGTTACACTATTAAGTAGTGTCAGTTCTAATTCTAATAATTATTGTAATTTCTTATTTTCTAAAACAATATAATTACTAACCTCCATAAGTTCTTGAGATCGTACCTCTTTTTCTCTTTTCATTTGTTCATGACGCTCATTTCTTTCAGTTTCTTTTGTTAATTTAATTTGTTCTCTGTCTTGTCTCGCTGCCGCTCTGGCGGCCTGTTGTTTTCTGGCCATTTCGATTCTTTGTTCAACTGGAATATTTGTTCTCATCGAATATTTAAATTCTTCGATCCTAAAAAGATCACAAACACTATTAAATGTAAATATTTGAATGCGTTCACAAATCTTTCATTAACCTTCTATTCACGTCTTCTTCGGTCAAATATATGAATTCGCTACCGTCCATTTGAATTTCCGCAGGAACTGGTTGCAAATATTCTCCTAAAATTACTCGGCAGCTGAACGTGAAATTTTCTTTACTGAGATCAGCATTTTTCTGGTATTCTAAATACTAAAAAAATAAAATTTTAGTAATTTCTAGCCAGTTGATTTTGTGGTTTACAAACCTGTGTTACATCCGACATTTGCTTGAATTTATTCGATGAATCTGGTGCCAAATAAGTTACATCTCCTTTTAAACCGCCGTTTTTTGTTAAACCTCGAATAATTGTTTCCCGTTTCCATCCTAAAATACAAATATGTTACTAGAAAATGTACGTATTTCTAAGCAGACAAAAAAAAATCATTTAATAGTAATAATAATTTAAAATGATTATTATATATTCAAAATATAAAATGTCATATCAAATAGATTTTATCTACTTTTCAGCATATTTTCATTTGAAAACATTGTAATCACAAGGAGGAAGTAAAAATTAGATCTGTTCCAAATTTAGGACTATTTAAAATTTACAATTTATTAAAAAGATAAAAACTACTGTATACTACAGTATATTCAAATAAAACTTGATTTATGTAATTTTAAGGACTAAAAAATATTCCTAAATCCATACCTCTGTCTAAAGGAATTCGCAGCAACCTTTCATCGTACTGCTTCTGCTTTTTCGTTACAACTTCAGTTTCCATTTCCGAATCGGTATGATTAGAATCTGTCAAATTGTCAGAATCCGAAGTGGCATCTACTGTACTAGAATCGCTAAGTGTACCTTTCATTTTCTCCTGAAAATATTTATTTAAAGCTTTCTCATCACCACCCGTTTCTTGTAAATATTGTTGTGCAGCCATTATATTCGACTTGAGTAATGACATCTGTTGGTTTATAGAAGTGTTTGGATCCAACATGGGAATAGGCTTGATACCTAAAAATTATATATTACTCAGAATTTAATTTTAGCGAGTAATTTATCTCAAAAAATGAATTATAATTACCTAAAGCTCGACTTTGGGCTAACAATGAAGCTACAGTATTCTTTTTTGGTTTACTGACTCCTCGTCCTAAATTTCTAGGCCTTCCCTCCTTTTGATTATAACCTAAAACTGGAGATATTGGTGTTCCAGACAAATGTGGAGTGGATGTAGTGCACGTTGAAGAGGTAGAACTTCCGCCGTCAGAACCCTCATTTCTACTTGGCGGTCTAGGAGAATCAGCTTGAGCGAAGAGATGAGACAATGAAACACTTGACACTGACGAAGTAACTTGTGTGCCAGAGGGAATACAACGTCGAGGTTTGGGTCCAGGTTTTCTTCTAGCTATAAGATTTTTTTTTTTATTTTGTACTAATTATAAAAAAAAATTTATGATACTTACAAATCCTATCAGATCCAATACTTGTGGATATATTACTCAATGAAGCCAAAGATGAATTAGCACTAGATACTTCAGAATTTGGCTTCAAAGAGAGGTTTAAGGGGGCCTCGCCTGCAGATTCTGAACAATCATAGTTAGAAGTAATTTCTGATGATAAGTTACCATTGGTTGTAGGAAGTTTTATGACCTCCACTTTATCACTTAATGGAGTTGTCGGAGGTGTAATGTCTTGATCCTAGAAATTTAAGGAATATCAGAACTATTATTTAGTTTTTCATTTATTTTTATAAGGAATTAAATATTATAATAATATAAATATACAGTTTCACTTTTTACTACGATATCAATCATTTTATGGATACGCGCAAGGTGTAGTCGAGTGTAATTACTGTAAAAAATCGGTAAACGACAGCGTAAAATGTTAAATTTGTGATTTAAAATACCATCAATCGTGTGCACAAAGAGTGAATCCTGTTGTTAGATGCTGTAAACCGAAAAACGTTAAAAAGCTAGACTGTGAAGTGGAAACCAAAAGTGACAATTTTCGCATTGAGGCCTACAATAATTTAAAATTATTAGTAGTAGAACAAAAAACTACTAACTAATTAATGAATGACAAAATTGTATCTCTGGAAAATGAAATTAAAATCGAAAAAATTAAATACTTGGGATCTACAATTAAAATTTTATGAGTTGAAATCTAAAGCCGATGAAATAGAAAACAAAGATAAGAAACAAAAAAACTTGTTTAGTGCCGATAACGAAGTACCTGTTTCTAGGTCAACTATAGATAAACTTAATTACCAAAAAAAGGGAATCCCTAGTTCCCAAATTCTACAAAGAAATAAGATACAAAATATTAGTAATCAAGTAAATAAACAGAAAATCGATAATGCTGAAGCCATGAAAATAGTAACTAAGGAAACTTATGAAAACTTAGAAAAAGGACAATTAGCTATTATGACAGAGTTAATAAATAGTACGGATGATACAAATCCTGATGCAACAAATACACAACATTTTAAAAATCAAGAAATACCATCCGAAACAGTAAAATATAGAAAAAGAAGACAACCTAGATGCCACATTGGTGTGTAGCACAAGTAAATAATGCGGAAAAACTAAACAGTTTTGTAGGAAGAGCTAAAAAAAAAAACAATTGTGGCTTTTTATTAGCAAGGTTAAAGATCACGTCACAGAAAATATGGTCATAACACATCTAGAAAAAAAGTGTGACAGAAAAGATCTGTTATCTATGAAGGAATTATCAACATACAAAAAAACTGCTAATAACAAATGTTTTAAGATCAGCATGCAATATGATCTTATGGACCAGGCATACACTGGAAGTTTCTGGCCACATGGGGTAGCAGTCTACTGTTATAACTTTAGAAAAGAAGAAAACAGATATAAGAACAACCAGGAAGCAAACCTACTAGATGAAAATTTTCCGGATGCCAATCAAATGCCAGTCACAACATAATCCAAACAGGAGAATATGACAACAAAAACACCAAGACTGAAGAAATCAAGACTTAATGAAAAATATCATCAACTTCATACTACTGCATTTCAATATACAAGGTATACAGAAGAAAATTAGTGAGCTAGAACAAATTTTAAAAAAGAATAAAGTAGATATATGTTGTTTTTCAGAACATTGGCTAAACGCTAATGGAATTGATATGTTAGAGCTTTGTGATTATTCTTTGATAAACTAAGTATTGTAGTACGTAATACCAAAGGGGTGGAGTCTCTATTTATGCAAAAAGTAATATATTAATAGAACCTGTATACTGAAATTTTACTATTGAGAAAGTTATCGAAATAAATGTTTGTGTAAATTTATCTTTAAAAATAAGGACATTTTTGTCATATCCCTCTATAGACCACCCAAATCGGATTTCAAATTGTTTACTGATAGGTTATATGACCTTTTCTGTGTTTTTACTATAACCCCTCTAGATATTATGATGTGTGCGGTGATATGAATGTAGACTTATTTATTAATAGTAATGAAACAAAATTACTTATGAATATTTTTAGGGAATTTGGCCTGTACAATATTGTTACAAAACCAACATGGGTCACCAGTATTAATTCAACTTTAGTTGATCCACTTTTTACAAATATTGTCCAAATAAACTAAATAGTGTACGTTTTTTATTGAGGGAGTTAAAAAACACTAACTTCCGATGTTTTAAAATTAACATTTGGTTTGGTTGAATCAATTATAGGGTATAATTTTTTGGGGCTGCTCAGCTCATCTGGAGCGAGCCTTCTGTGTACAAAAAAGAGTTATAAGATGCATGGCTGGGGCTTCAAGAACAACTAGCTGCAAACAACTTTTTCATGACTTTAAAATTCTAACACTTCCATCTTTGTATATATACTTACTAATACTTAATATAAAAAAACAGGAATCCCAACTATCAGATTATAGACACTCACACAATTATAACTCATGTAATCACAAATATTTACAGTAGTCTTTCTCTAGACTCTCAGTTGGACAGAATTTCGAAATCTGCATGTTTTAATAGATATACTCAAGTCAATGGTAATGAAAAAATCTTTAATGTATTCAAAAATAAGCTATATGCATATCTTTCGTCAAAAAAACATATTATGCAGAATTTATGAATGATACTGGGTGGATCCGTAATGGTATCTTTTTATTGTCTAATGTTTTTGCCCTGTTGTATACTGTTTTTAATTTGTACTTCATTTTAAACTCAATTGTAACATGTCCTCTACTTTTTAAAATTGTATGTATTGACAAGGCTAATAGGTCTTATATGTTTATACATGTTTTAACCTTTTTAAAATATTGTAAATATGTATGTCTCAAAGCCAAATAAATATTATTATTATTAATGTCAAAACATTCTCCAAATAGCATATAAATTAAAGAAAAATTCTAACTACAAATTACTTTTAACAGGAGATTGTAATGTACATTTTTAGATCCCAAGGATAAAAACGCCTCATTACATCAAGCAGTCCATGAAGAGTCTAGACTCTAGATAACTTTTTTGTGAATTTTTATATATATATATACTTACACTTAACTTAGGCCTTTTGTTTGTATGTTCAATTAGGGAACCAGCGTTTATCTGCGAAGGATGCAAACTTACAGACGGCGGGTCTAGACTAATGGTCTTCTTCCTTCCGCGATTCGTTGTACCAGGTATTTTAGGACCCACAATGGACGAAGTGTACTTGATAATCTCTGTGTCAGGTGGCAACCTAACACCACCCAAAATAGAATTAGGATCACTGTAAAAATATATACATGCAACTTCTTTTATACAATAGAAATAAAAAATAAATAACTAGTTAATAGAAATGCAAATATATGTAGCAAAGAAAAATAATGCAGTGTAAAATAAACTACTATATCGCTACCTTCATTCCAATATCAAGTATGAGTAAATGTAACGTTTAGAGGGAGACGAAGAAAACTGTGTGCTATTAGAACACATCTTAATGCTATTAAAAATTTATAAATAATTTGACAAACAATTTCTTCTTATGCCTGTGGTATTAAAATTATTTGATATAGCGTCCACAATAGATTTAGAATCAGTTTTTTAACTCATTTTGTCAAAAATTATAATACATGGAACTCAAGAGAAGGCAACGATATAATTCTATAGGAAAACGTCATAAAATAAAAATACATAGTTTGTAACATTAATAAAAGACAAAATAAGGGCAATTAAGTAATTAAAATCAAATAGAGTACACATAAATAACTTTAAATTGTAAATATCAAAGATAGACTTGATTATTCCTAACTTTATTGCCTCAATTGAAAACTATTTCAAAACACTATTAAACAAATGGCATCCACCCACAACAACTAATATGGATTAATTTTAAGTGATCAATCAGATTTAAATTATGCATCTGTATTTTTGTTTTTTCTACATTATCTTGCCTTTTTATTAATGTCAAATCTTTCTCTAAGGTACCAATAATAAATGTATATAAAAAATACTCTAACAATCATTCTAAAAAATTAAATAAAAATTATAAACTGAATGGAGTAACTATTTATTTATATTTTGGTTATCTTACCTGCTACCTTCTAGAGCAGCACTATAAAATAATATTTTTAATGTAACTTTTTCTATTAATAAATAAAAATATAACAAAATTTTAAAACATGTTAGTGCTCTTTTTACCTGAGTAAATAAAAAGAAATATGGACTAAAATAATTACAGGTTTTCACTGTTTGAGAGTCATATGTGATATCTTAAACATGCCCAATTATACGGGGTGTAACAATAACAGTAAATTTAACCAGTTTCTGGGGCCCTATCCTCAGGTATCGTTTTCTAAAAAACGTATAGGGTTTAGCAACATGCCAGCGATTTGCTATGCTCGACATTCGTTTTATAGAGGGGTATGTTTTAAAAATGGATGAATTTCTTTTTTAAGCTATTGCATAGCTTTTATCGCGGACTTTGAGTGCGGTGACCGAATCAAGAAATTCCGTAACGACCGTAACGAAAAAAACCTAACACCCCCCACTCCGACCGGCACAGCGGTGCAGGGTTAAACAATATTAACTTCTCATTTATTCAATAAAAGAAAATCGAAAAATCAAAAAATCGAAAAATCTAAAACTCGAAACAGAAATTCCGTAACGAAAATAAACCTAACACCCCCCACTCCGACCTGCACAGCGGTGCGGCGTTGAAAGCCGTGCATCGTCTAACGTCGTTTCAGTTCGGCAGACTTCGGCACGGTGTTTGTGTGCGTGCGACTAGACGTATGCGTGTAGACTAGCTGCTAACTGATTGTCTCTTTTAGACACAATTTGGGAAAAATTGAATTTGAAAATGAATAATGATCCACAAGAATCCACAACAAAATATGGGACCACCATTGACGCGGTATTTTCCAGATAGAGGATATCAAGTCTCAAACTTATGTTTCTTGATAATGAAACTTTCAACCAAAATACAAAATAAACTCTATAGTGGGGATGATGGAATCCCAGCAAATATAATGAAACGTAGTCTATTTGTAATAAAAGATACTTTGACACATATAATTAATAATTCCTTAAGATCGGGCATTTTCCCCAAACAATTAAAGACATCAATGGTAAAACAAGAATTATTAATTGGCATGGAACCTTAAGTCATCATTAGGTAGTAAATGTGTGACGTCATTTCACTATAATGTTATTTATGTTTATACATTTTAAATATTTAATTTTCTATCTCTGTCCGCCTTTCCTTTGGATATAATTCAATACCTGTTGCGGTATTAGCCAAAGGAGTAGTTGTTTTCTAAAGGGAAACAGTCGCTTTTAATTTATGTGCTATTGGCTTTATTTATATTTTTAGTTTACGTCTTGATGCCATTTGAGTTTGAAATATTTTTCGTTTTAATTTAAATATTTGTAAAATATGTCAGTGACATTGCTTTAGGGTTTCTTTTAGCCAACTGAAGACACCGATTTAGTCACATGTGATACGGATTTTATTGAAAATTATGTATTAATAAAAAAAGATTGTTTTTTTCTCGATAGCTAAAAGTTTTATGTACTGCATTTTTCTGTCATTCCTGCCCTGTGCAAAAACTAAAAATAATCATATGACGCGAACGACCAAAATGCATTCGTAAATAACGTTCACAGTAATAGTGTCTACGAAAATTCTATTATCCAGAGGAAAAATATGTAACTTTAAACATTTCGCATTTAAATATACCAGTTATTATTATTTGCGAAAGGTGTTAGAAGTGTAACATATTTTTGAATATCACTAACCTATAAACATGGATAAAACTTTTTCAATTGTGTTGCCAATGCACATCGTTTTAGTTTCCTTCACAAATATGTAAGTATTCAAAAACTTAAATTTGTAGATACAGATATAGTTGAAGGCTCTGTAGTTTAAATAAAGGAAATACTGTATTCCATTTTACTGATTGTAGATAATGATGCTACATAAGAAGTATATGTTTGAAGAAAAGTCTTACTGCATTTTATTAGTAATGTCAAGTTTTATATTTACCTTAATATACTGGAAGATAGACAATTGCTGCCTCCACTATGATTAGCACCATCTCCCTTGTCCGGAGTACTACTAACCAAACCGTAGGAACTAGTGAAAATATTTGGTGACGAAGTAGGAGTTTCCTTCAAATTTGGACTGTCGCTGCCAGATACCGAATTAACGCTCTTCGAGCTTTTATTGTAGCAATTCAAATCGTTCGAGCTTGATTTTATTCTTTGATGCTTATCGGGAGATTTGTAAGCAGGATGGATCGACAAACTGGGTGAATATTTGGCAGGATGCGAGTAAGAACTTGTGGAAGAATGCGACGTTGCCAAAGACGAAGTGCTCATGGGTTCAGTCATGCAGCTGGGATCCAATTTGGACGAGGAGGAAGGCTTCGAGTGATTTTGAGATCTACACAAATGTATAATTTTTAATCATTATACAATATCTACTAGTATTACTGATCAAAAGTTGAGAATAAAGATTATGATTTGATGTTGCTTAGATAGATGGACATAGCATGTTTCTATTATGCTGAGGCTCAAACACTATGTATTAAAGAAGTTGCTAAGTCTCATTTAATACCTTATGTTGGACATTTATAAATAAGTATATATACACACACACACACCAGGAATTTCATAGATTTAAGGCCTAATGAAATAATTCCTATGTTCAGTCTATTTTTTTACAATTTTGACCATTAAAGTCTAACAAGTATGATATATGTATAGCTGAAATAAAGTTGAACAATTATATTAACAGGACAAAATAAATTTCTGCATTGTATAACAAAGAGTTAATTTGAGTTCAACCTGTAAGAGTTTTTCAACCGATATACATTTTTTAAAAATCAAATATTAGCTAGCACTCGGTATATTATAAATTCATATTTTAATAAATTCGTTTAACTTTTGAATAATAATTGTATGGGTAACTATCTTAAATTTAACTATAAACTTTATTAATTAGTTACCTAGACACAGAAGTTGATGATGGCAAGGAATGACTGCTTTTGTAATGATTCTTTGAACTTTTATGTTGACTAGCAACAGACTGTAACCCCAATCCTGGATATTGTAAATCGCCTCCTAAGCCTGGAAAAGTTAAGCCAGACGCTTGAAGTCTAGCGAGGTAATCTTGAGCTGCCAGTTGTGAAGCCATTGACCACCATGCTGCGCCTGTAAACAAAAAAATGAGAAAATAAAATTTATACTTTTCTCAAAAAATATAATCTTTATTTCTAAAAAAAAAGTAAAAAGAAAACAGCAAATTTATAAAATCGCAACATTCGCAAGAACGTACCAATTTATGCTGTAAATAATTATTTGTTATCTAAAAACCTGATTATATTTATTTTAGTAAATAAACTGTCCTTGTTTTGTGGTTGAGCTGCCCAAAAATTATTGTAAAAATATCATACCACTATATTTTATTCGGTTTCCGTTGTAAGAAAGATTTTAGGAATAATTGTATAAAATTTTGGTTAAATATCTTATTTATATAATTTGGAACATCTATTACCGGAAGTACATTTCCTAAGTACAAGCTAGAAGCGCCGATACAAAATATCGCTATAGCAGAACTCTCTTTCTTTGTATAAACAAAAAAAAAACTATCCAAAGGACAGCACTCGTAATATTTTTGATTCAGTAAAATTTTTCTGTAGTTATTTTTGGAATATAAGTGGAAAAAACAGCAATTTTTAAGCGTTACTATCAAAGAAAAAGTAAAATAAACGAATGTATTATATATTTTTCAGAACATGCTTCAAAATGCTTTTATTTGATGTAATACGATGGCATCAGAACAATTGCAACTTCCAATTTTACCCCCAACTGACTTCCAAGACAAAGTATATTTGAAGACACAAGTGGATGAAGGGCCTATGTAGCAAAATAATTTTTACGAGACATTTCGTGTTAAAGTTTATTGTTTGGCAGTTATTTCCTAGTACATGGGTCCTTTATCCACTGGAAAATTCTATATTTGATGATATATTATCACGGAAGACATTTTAAACGAATTTTAGGTACATAAGCCCCCCCCCCCCCCTTTAATTCATAGAAAAACATCATTTAAAAAAATGTTACATAGGCCCTTCATCCACTTGTGTCTTCATTTGTTTTTAGTTACTGCCTAATGTGGGCCACTGATTGCTTCAAATTTCAATTGTGCATGTCAAATGTCTTTTTTTTTTTTCGTTTAATTCGGTATTGATCTCATCGTTTTCTTTTCAAAAACAGGTAATTAACTAGTCAGTTCACAATATTCGATTTTATTCATTTTTGTAAAAATACTCGTTCCAAATTTGACAGTCATTTGAAGGATAATATTTAAGAATAACAATGGTTTGATATAATAATAATAGACTTTATTTATGTTTAAACCGACTTCAAAAAAGGAGGTTATCAATTCATCGCGATATTTTTTTTTTTTTTATGTATGTTCAGCGATTATTCTTTAACACGGTGTCCGATTTCAATGATTCTTTTTTTGTTAGAAAGGGGGTACTTCAGGGGTGGTCCCATATAAATTTAGTCAAAATCTAATAATTGGGTCCATGAGAAAATCCTCAAAGTCTTCATTTTTTATGTATGTTTAGCGATAATGCTTTACCACCTTATCCGATTCATATGATTCTTTTTTTGTTAGTAAGGGGGTACCTCAGGGGTGGTCCCATATAAATTTGGTTAAGATGTGGTGATGGCATCTGCACGTTTTTGAAGTCGGTTTTTTTAAATTTTTAATTTCTAATACTTGTTTTACAGTAAATAAATACATATAAATAGGTATGTGAAGTTAAAAAATATATAACACTTGTTTCGAAGAAATAAAAATGTTAAAAACATACAAATAGAAAAGGTTAATAAATACATCTAATTAAAAACTAAAACTAAGAACTAAGTCAATTAATTTTCAGCTGAATTTCGTATTATTGTATGCTTATTTTGTTATAAAGTTTAAGTTAAATATTATAACTATGTTTTGTATTATTTAATTTAGAAATTATGGCAGGGTCACTTTATTATCGATACTTTTTTGCCAGACTAACGTAAGTGACATTTGTACAAATGGCACTTACATGGGCACTTACGATAGTCTGGCAAAAAGATATTATTATGTTGTTTTTATTCACATTTAGATACCGTATTATTTTGTTTCATTCTTTTAATTCATCTGGTATAATTAATAATATTGTATACTTATACTGCGGTTATTTCTCTTTTTTTTATTTTACTATTTTTACAGTTCTTTTAATACCTATATGTATTTTCTTTAATTCCATAATTATTATAAAACTAAATGTAGGGCAATCACTTTTTCGTCAACAAATACATATAGAAGACCATTTCAAATAAAATAAAAAATTAAAGTAACACTGAAGAGAAAGGTGACTCTTATTCAGAATTTCTTATTGAATATGTAACCTACTTTTTTTATAAGAAATTAATTCTAGATTATTATTATTAATGCATCGTGAAACTTATAAATTAAATATGATTACAATTTTAAATTGAATTTATTGATTTCTTTAACAAGCGATATTATTAAAGTAATTAATATTTTTTAAATAATTAATGTTTATTCTTTAATCAAGGGGTTCGATTTTCCTTTTATATTAGATACACATCCAAGACTGTCGATTTTCAAGGCAAATAAAAATGTCAAATAAATATCAATAACTTTTTTTAATTAGTTGAATAATTATTTTTTATAACTGTTATTCAGAATTTTGAAATTTTGCCTACAAACTTTATAAATCACCACTATTTACCGTACTTAATATTATTAGGAAAACATTTTTTTTTATTTTCAAGTTAAATCTTACTTTTCTTATTAAATTATTTAATGAATTAATTCATAAAATCATTCATGAATAAATTGAAAGCTCATAAATTTATCTGATAATAACATGGCTAAATTGAACATATAAAATGCGCTAGTTTATATCCATGTTTATCACCAACCTAAACAAATGTTATGTTAAATAAGATTGTCTTTATTCGTGGGATGTGAATGCTTATTGTCTAAATGAAACATATTTTGCACATTCTGGGGACGCGTAAAAAGGAGTGTAAAGGTAAGTCGGTATTATGAAATAAGAATGAGAAAACAGAAAATGTGATTGTATTGTATTTTCATGACCAAAGGATAAATTAAATATTCATGATTTTCTTTTTCTTGGGAATAGGCTAATGAAACGATTTTAAAAATAAAATACCAAAATATAGATTCAGCGATACCGTTTGGGTGTAAGGGCACTTTCAATAATATATGCGTAATTAAATTATTGCACAATTTAATTGATCGGTTAAAAGGGGCCTCATATTTTATGATATAAATAAAGAGCTTCTCTCCGAAAAACAACTACTCTTATAAGAGGAATATGGTGGAATTATGAATGATTACAGATGACTTGCCCATCAAAAGCATATTATTAGTTTAAGATTAGGTTTATGCGAATTAAAGTTAAATTCCAAAACAGTGAAATACTTCGAAAGGAGTCTTGGCTATCATCATCGAGAAAAGGAAGAAAAATAAATAATAATAACAATAATAATATTCTCCCTAATTCACAACATTTTAGGGAAATCATGTATAGAACAAAATTACATCACAAGCAACGTTTGTTTGAACAATTTTCTTTAAAATTCGAATTTTGCACCTATTGTTAAACTTATCGAATATGTACCTTTTTATGTATAGGACAAAAATTATAGAGAATATCACAAGCAACTTTAATTTAAACAATATATTCCATAAAGTAGAAAAACGACCCACTATAAAGTACCCCCCCCCCCCCAAATGTTCCGACTATGATCAAAATCTATTCAGATCACATTTTTTAGACATGTTTACCCCTGGATCATAGCTTGATAATTTTTTAATTCCTCTCATGCGTCCTCAATAATTAATTGAAGAAATTTTTTCGTTTACTATTATATTGTTTATCTAAGGGTATGGTTCAGAATTTTTTGACAGCGGTTCCTGAAAAAAAAAAAAACTAATTTTTTGGTTACATTTGGATCACGGCAGAGAAATAAGTCATTTTTGTGACAGATTGACATTCGATTTAATAGTTACCGTAAAAATATAGCGGTGAGTGAATTGACGTCTGAGTCACCATTTTCAGGTAACCGCGTCCCTAATTTAACCCATTTTGCAGGAAGTCAAGCAGAGCCATTAGTTTTGGACCCTAAATATTAAAATGTTAAATCCAAAATTGCATAAACACAGAGAGAAAACTATAAAGAATTGAAGAAACATGCAAGGGTCTGAGAAATTATCAAGGATACTAAAACAAGATGTAAAAATTTTGCTATGTTCGAGAAACAAAATCCTATTTAAAACACCATAATACCTCAGTTAGTTTAATCACTTTTTTCGACCTTCAATTTTCGAGATGAATTTTTTTTTATCAACAGTGAAATGTGTCCAATAGTCCCCTCTTTGAAGATTTCAATTTACAAGATGCATTTTTTATAATACCTTTTCCACTACCATTATAGCGAAAAATTTAACGCCGCAAACAGCATATTCCTATCTCAAACGAACGTTTGCCGAGATATGTTTTAACAAAAACCTTGATATTTCTATAAATAAAAACATGTTTAAAGAAGGACCAAAAAATTGTAACCGGCTATTGTAATAACTCGGAGGTGTTATGGAAATGGACTCACTTCAATTGAAAAATTTGAAATTAATTTTTGTATTAAATTAAAATGCGTATTTGTCGTATACCTGTAAAACATTAAAATTACCCGCCACTGGAAACACTTCATTTTGCCCCGTAAGCTCCCAAACATTTCTACAAATTTTGGAGCGATGAATTCAGCATTTCACTACACATTCCAAAAATTCTTCCATGTCTCCCTCCTCAAGATTTAACAATTTATGAGCATTTTTTTAAAATAAAGATTTGCTAAAAAAGAAGGAATAGACGTTATAAATTCGTTTTATGAAAAGTAAAATATTTTTTTGAATGAGGATCAAATTAATATTGACTGAAAAATTGTACTGTCCGAAATATATGAAGAGCTTAAATAAAAACGTGTTTATGACCGATTCAACCAAAGAACTCTTATTTATATTAAATTATTATTTAGAATACACTACCATTTAAATGCTTTTAACACATTGCGTGTCACGCTGTTATCGGGAAAATAGTCCCAGGGGT